ACAACCGCACTTTCTCTCTCTACAAAACCTCCCTCCTCCTCTTCCTCGCCGTCAATGGCGTCCACGCGCGAGGGCCACTACCGTGGGGTCCGCAAGCGCCCCTGGGGCCGGTACGCGGCGGAGATCCGCGACCCCTGGAAGAAGACGCGCGTCTGGCTCGGCACCTTCGACACCCCCGAGGAGGCCGCCATGGCCTACGACGGCGCCGCCAGGTCCCTCCGCGGTGCCAAGGCGAAGACCAACTTCCCCCCGCCGCCGCCGCCGCCGTCCGGCATCCCCCTGGACCTCAACCTGCCGTCCGACCACCGCTTCTTCCCCGCCCCGCCGGGAAGGCTCACCATCACCGACTTCCTCAGCGGCGCCGTTCTTGGGGACGTTCCCCCGCGGCCGACCGCCGGCGGTCAGGTTGCGGATACGGCGGGTGACGTCCAGGCTCCGGCGAGGTACTTCGGGATCGTGAGGCGCGGCCTGCCAATTGACTTGAACGAGCCGCCGCCGTTGTGGATGTAGAGCATTTTCCCCCACCCTTTTTTTTTCCTTTTTATTTTTCTGCTGTTTTTTTTTCCTCGTGATTTCGATGATATCGGACGGCGGAGGTTTTATTAACTCGTTATGATCGGATTAAAAAAATATCACTCTAGTCTCTATTGTATATATTGTTAGTTTTTATTTTAATTAATTACATCTTTAATTATCTGCGTTAATGTCAATCAATTAATCAGTGATTATCGGACTTAATCCAGTTTTGTCACACTAATCCAAACACAATCATGGAATGTTCATTTTTATTTTTATTTTTTTTCGTATAAATATTTGTGTCTCACGCGCGGACATGATTGGTAGTTGGGGTATTTATGATTTTAGTTATATAATTATATTTCTGAAAGATTACAAAGCGTAGTTTGTAATTGTTATATCAATTATTTTTTATGGTTACATCAATTATTTCTGACGGTTACATGCTGATTTAATAGTTACAAATTCCAATAGAATGATTCTGTAACGGGATATTAAAGAAATAACCTCGATAGAATGGTTCCGTAACGAGAAAAGATGGGGAAAAGCGAGCGTGTGGGAGATTTGATTAATAAAAGGTAGTGATAAAATCCCGTGTGAGATATTGCATATTTCCATTAGGAGGATAAAATAGTACTAAGGTTCCTTTGGGACCTGGTGACCGCTCGCTTTTACAGCATACGATTTGTGTGAAAAAATAGTAATATTCAATTTTTGCGGTGGGATATGTTTGGACGGATTAGCCTCCACTTCACGTGGGCTTCAGTCTTCTAGACAGTGCTTCTATTTGACTACTCATTTTAATTCTCTCTTCTTTATTAAGGTCTTTTTGGCAAGTTTGCCTCCAAATTTAATTTCCTTATTTTGTAATGAAAATTCACATTGTCATAGGATTTATTTATTTTAGGTTACTTGAAGTAGTATTATTAAATTAAACAAGATGAATTGAGCCGAATTCGAGCTTAATTTTTAGCTATGTAACAAGTAGAGGTCGACTCGACCCGTTAAGTGCTAGAGCTGACGCTCGAACCCCCTAAATTCGAGCTCGGCTCGTTTGCAGGCTTAATTTGAATTAATAACTTTTTTTGGTAACAAATATAGTTAATCGTGATTCATGGTGTAAATATGGTTAGGTAGATACGAATCGAGTCCGTTTTCTATTATGGTCTCTATTGGGTATGCTTGAATTGAGCTTCTAACGATTAGACATTCACATGTATATATACTTTTGTAATTGAATGTTATGATCTTTTTCCACAAATTTCGAACACTTTTTTATAATATTTATTTGAGTCTGGTCGTGATTGTTGTTGGTGTGTAAACTTTATCCCACATAAAAAAGTTAAAGGTTTCAAGTCCAGTATATAAGCTTAGTGGGCTACTCCCACTATTGTCAATTGATTTTAGAATGGAACCCTGTTTGAGTTTGTATGTTGGGTTTGAGAAGAACTGAGTTTTGAGTTGTTGGTCCTAACAATTTGTATCAGAACCACGGTTGGTAGCCCAATTACGATGTGGATGATGTGGCATCGTGGAGCCGGAAAAGGCCGGTTGATTCGTGTGCCTTGTGTCAAAAGTCTTCTAGGCAAAAGGGTGTGGTCAGCCAGTTACGATGTGGATGATGTGGCATCGTGGAGCCGGAAAGGCCGGTTGATTCGTGTGCCTTGTGTCAAAAGTCTTCCAGGCAAAAGGGTGTGGCCAGGCGGCGAGTTTCGTGGGTGATAACGACGGTACAAGATGGTCGGATCGTATTAATTTCGTTTAAGGGGAGGTCCAATGTGGTCTTGAGTTTGAGGGGAGGTTTGTTGGTGTGCAAACCCAATTCCTCATCGAAAAATTAAAGGTTTCATGTCCAATATATAAGTTTAGTGGGCTATTCCCTCTATTGTCAATTGGTTTTAGAATAAAACCTCATTTGGGCTTGTATGTTGGGTTTGACGGAGAATTGAGTTTTTAAGTTGTTGGTTCTAACAATTGTGTCAAATATGGTTCTTTCAATTCTAATGGTCACCACCACAATACAATGGTGAAATTATTAATTGTTGGATCAATTTACATGCTTATATATTTGTGTGTATTGATTCAACAGCAGAAAACTAGATATAAGTTCTCCCATCAAGTACGTCTTATCGAACACTTTCATTAAATAATTACTACCTCTTATTCTTTTTAAATGTCATTTTGGCATTATCAACTATTAACAAATAAATGTCGTTTTGGATATTTTGTACATATTTTTTCATTATTACCCTCATTTAGTTAATAAATACACTACGTCTTTTCATATTCACTCTTCATATTTTTTCAAACCATTTATCTCTATTCTCATTAATGAGGATTATTATTGGCAAAAAAAATATTCTTGATACTGTGTAACTTCTCAAAACGACACTTATTTAAATAAGAGGGAGTATAAGTTATCGAACATTTTCCTTAAACAATTATATGTTTATAATTTTTGTCCGAAAAGACATTTAGCGCATTAACGGGCGACCAAATTGATATGGGCCCATAAATTTGTTAAAGTCAATGGAGGCTTCATTATTTACGTACGCCGGCAGGGATTGGACCCGACCCGATTCGGATTATGATTTATACTTCAAACACCCAACACATATCTACCGGGTCGGATCGGGTCAAACATGTGACGGCTGTCACCTCTTTCTCTGTCAATCCTCGGAATCTGTTGGACTCGTCTTTGCTGTACTCAATTTTATCTCTAATAATCCTCTTTCTTTGACTTAAATGGCCTCTTAAAAAGAAACAAAATAAATAAAGTAAAATCTATTATGTGATCTAGTTTTAGATTTTCCACTAGCATATTAAAACGGACTTGTTAGATAGAATCATTATTCATTTATTTGTGACAAGTCAGTCATATATCTATTAATCTATAATAAGGATTAACATAATTTACTTTTAGAAATATTTTCTCCTCAATTTCATTAATTACTTTTTATATAGAGAAATAAAACACAAGTGAATCATTAATTGTTGGAGATAATTTATCAGTTAAAAAAGAAAATTCTAATTCCTGGAGATAATCTATCCGTTAAAATAGGAAAGAAATTTGTAATTTACTTTGTCAAATTAAGATTTTGAGTTAATCCTTCTATAACACGTTTGTGCGGACGGAATGCATAGATAATCCTCAAATGATTTAAATGAATGATCTTTTTTTATCCAATAATACTTCATCAACATAAACATTAACCAATAAAATAATGATTGGCTACATATTATTACCTAGGTATATACAACCTTGAATCAAATCATACAGTACCACCAATTGTTCTTTGTCATACTCGGTTTATGTTGTAAAAAAAAAAATATTTTCGAATTTTGTGTTGTGAACTTTTTGAATCTGATTAAAATCAATTATTTTATGGTAATGATTTTGTTGAGTGTATTTTTTCTTCATAGAAAATTTTTAAAATCACCGATTAATAAAATGAAATCTCATTCTAATTATAGACACTACATATATTTTTTTATTGATTTATTAAACAAAATTTAAAACTACAATGGAATTAAACAAGTTATATTCTCAAATTTATTTTTATATTTTTTTAATAAAAATAAGATATAAAAGTGTGATATAAATAATTACAACAGTTCGATCATTCCCATTCAAAACGTAACAAAGGTTTTTTTTTTTGAATAAATAGCATTCAAATTTTCAAGATACACGGTTAACATTCAAGCTTATCATTTACATATAAAAATAAAATAAAATATGATTTTCATATCCTTATTTATCCGTGAAAAAGTTATACATTATGAATCCAAGCAAAAAAATTATTGTCTTATTCAAAAGAGATATACACAAGATCCATGCAAAATGAATTATAAATTACACAAATTAATTTATTTATGAAATACCTTAAAAATATGATTTACATGTCATTCGATTCATTTAGTTAGTTTTGAAGTATAAATGATATAATGTCGTTGTTATTTTTTTCAATGTAGTTATTATTTTTGTAAATATTGTTTACAAAAGATACCATCGAAATTCCAAATCTCTGTTAAAACATAACAAAACAAAATGTTATAAATATTGTAGTTTATTTAGAATAAAAAATGAGAATGATTGAAAAAAAATACTATAAATCCACACTTTAAGGAAACAAGTTTTCTTATTTTCCATATAAAATAAAATTTCACTTCATAAATCATATCTTTAATATTTGTCACATTATTACATATTTTCACTATAATTTTATTTCGTGGTGTTGGCATTCTAAAAGTCAGCATAGAATTAGAGAAATTAGGTGTTTATCAATTACCAAGTGGAGAAAATATCGGTCTACAGTTGCCAAGTGCTAAATGATTTTGTATGGAAAAACGATGAGACTTTTATTAATGTATTACTTTTTTTTACGACCATTTTATGATTAGTTGACAAATCCTCTATGTATCATAACTTATATTAATAGTCTTCTATTTATAAATTTTACCAAAATAAATACAGCCCGTGCATCGCAC